GTGTAGCTTTGCGCCTTTCCTGGAGCTCACTTGGTAGCCCAGGCTGGCCTCGAACTCACAGAGATCCACCTGGCTCTGCCTCCCAAGTGCTGGGAGGTTTTTCCTTTTTTAAGAAGGAGAAAGAACATAAAATTGGGTATGTAGGGAGGCGAGGAGGATGTAAGAGGACTTAGGGGAGAGGAAAGAATATGATCAAAATATATTATATGAAAACATTTTAGGGCATACTGTGACTGATCACCTTACATTCCTGCTACCATTCCCACCAGTGTGGGCTATATCTTTTATTTTTTTAAACAATATCTTACTATGTAGCCTTGGCTGGCCTCGAACTTGCTATGTAGACCAGGTTGGACTCAAACTCATAGAGCTCTGCCTGCCTCTGCCTCAAAAGTGCTGAGGTTGAAGAACTGTGTGACCACAGTTGGTTATCTCCCCTCCTAAACTGTGATTCCTCTTAAAAAAGAAAGAGAGAGAGAGAGAGAAAGAAAGAAAGAAAGAAAGAAAGAAAGAAAGAGAAAGAGAGAAAGAGAGAAAGAGAGAAAGAGAGAAAGAAAGAAAGAAAGAAAGAAAGAAAGAAAGAAAGAAAGAAAGAAGGGAAGAAAGAAAGAAAGAAAGAAAGAAAGAAAGAAAGAAAGAAAGAAAAGAAAGAATGAGTGGCTTTGACTCCTGGTTGTACCCCTGCCTTGTTTTGACTTTGTCTGTTCTTCGGTTTGCTAAGTTTTTTGTTTTTCTATTTTTGTTTGTTTGTTTGTTTGTTTGTTTTCCGAGACAGAGTTTCTCCGTGTAGCCCTGGCTGTCCTGGAGCTCGCTCTGTAGACCAGGCTGGCCTTGAACTCACATAGATCCGCCTGGCTCTGCCTCCTGAGTTCTGGGATTAAAGGCGTGCGCCACCACTGCCCAGCCATTTGCTAAGTTTTAATTTATTTTGTTTTCCTGCATTGTGTAAAGTTTTAGGCCACTTTAATCCCCTGAATATTCTGAAAGCCACTGTCAGCCTGTCAGCTCTACAGGCGTTAACACTTCCTGTGTCATCCACCTGATATTCATTCACAATAACATTTCACTGCTATTCGGAAGCACAATATTGCAAATCACCTACCGTGTTTATGAATAAATGCCAGTCCTTGCAATATCTGATACATTATATTCCTTATAGCAGACTCTGGAAACAACTTATTTCTGTATGGGCCAGAAGAAAACAAAGTTAAAGAGCCGAGTTTCTGTAGTAAAAGGAATCTCTGTTATTATCTTGAGTAATTCTGATTAAGAAATTTTACCAGATCCTTTGATAATAAATAGCAGAGAAAAATAATCACTTGTTGACATAGTGAGGCTAAGTAATAAACACCAAGTACATTGAGCTCTATTACAAAGAAAAGAGTAAACGTTTTATAATAAAATAAATAAGAAACCTGTAACACTGTATCCAAAAATAAGCCAGGCAGGGCAGCCACACCTGTAATCTCAGGACTCAGAAGGTTCACATAGAAGGATCCTGAGTTCCAGGCTAGTCTCAACTATGCAGCAAGTTTGAGGCCAGCCTAGAAATGAGACCTTTCTCAAAACGCCACCACCACCACCACAAAATGAAAGCAAGCAAGCAAGCTGCATCCCTGGAGTTGTCCCGGGGCACCCCGGCACAGGAATGTTCTTCACTTAGCTGGCAGATTTCATTCATTAAAATTAAAATCCAGAGGCACATAAGACTGTTAAAGGACTATAGAAAGAACCAGAAAGCTGAAATAAACCAAGCAGAAAGTACATCTACTTTGCAATAGAGGATCCTTGGAAGTTCAGTTCCCACACCCACATTGGAGTAGCTCACCGTAACTCCAGCACTAGTCGGGAGCTGGCACCTCTGGCATTTGTGGGCACTCACACACATATGCACCCCTACAGATATAATTTTAAACAATAAAAATAAATCTCAAAGACACTTTGTTCAAAAATAAGGTTACGACCAAACCATACCTTTCTTTAATGAGCTGGTAAAGGTTTTCCTTCATGTACTCGAAGATAAAATAGAGATGATCGTTTTCCCTGATGACTTCTTTCAGCTTTACTATGTTGGCATGATTGAGCTTCTTCAAAGACTGAAACAAGGTGAGAAAGAAAACCAGATGAAATTAGAAAAACAAATGTGTCTCAAAGGGAAAGCAACCCCAAGCATACTTAGAAAGGGATTTCTGATTTGAGAACCGAGAACATGCCATGAATCACATTCTATTGGCAACTTTGTAAACAGTGTTTCTCTGAAGTCAACATGACTTTATCTAGAAGCATGCCTTTGGTGGATTGACTAGAAAGTAAGCATCTGATCACTAGCTGGTACTCCTGACTGTACTGTTCCTGGAGCGATAGGTCAGGACTATTTTTGTGGCAACAGGCCCAGGCTGTTTTAGGCTCACCCCCTCCAGATCATGGAACTCAGGTTGTACAAGTGGCCAGAGGGGAACCAATAAAGAGAGCCATGGCTTTAAATCTTCTGGCGCTGGAGAATGCAGCTGGTTAAGGCTGAGGTCACCAGATAGCAGCCTGCAGACACGGTCAACAGGAAATTGCTGAAAGGACTGAGGCTGATAGCCTGATTCTCTAGACTTTGATCAGACTTGTGTGCCTGCGACAAAATGCTCCTTCTTACAATATGAGTTTTAATTACCAGGGGGATTGAAGACATATTATTGATGAAATACTGAGTGAAAGGACAAGAGCAATAGAGATGAACAAGTCAGGCAGTAGCCGAGGAACATGGACATGGTTCAGAAGATGATACATGAGCTTTGATTACTCATTATACACATGTAGTTTTCTAAGTTCATTTGAGTGTAGCCCTGTACATATGACTTTCCATATATATCATCTGCCAATGGTGAACAAAAAAGCTGTCCTGTTAGTGACCAGCAATCAGTATCTGGAGACACCCAATTCTTGGGGGTGCTACCTGGATGATCACAGAATTTGAACCTTGAAAAGTCTTTTCCCTCACAGGGCAATGAGGTCAATAATGACAAATTATAGAATTTGTCCTCTGTCTTTGAATTTCATTAAAAAGAACACCCTTTCTATAAAACAAACAAAATGTACAGAAGGAAGAGTTAAAGCAAACATCCAAATCCAGAAGGATCCAAATGATCGGAACTTGGATTGATGTAGCTTGGAAGAGAGAGGAAATACAGCCAGTAGATAAAGACCAAGTGAGACTTTTCTAGACTTTTCATCTCAGAGGACAAATTCTTGCCAAGTCATTTTACTGGCATGGATCCTCAGCAGTTTGGGCTAGAATCTTCTAGGATGGCCCAGCTCAGTTGATTATCCCTTTTACTTGGGTTGGAGCCCTGGTTTTCCATGAGTAACAACATAGGCCGATGTTCACTGGCTGCTCCTGATGGCGGCCATCTTTCCTGCCTGTTTGCTTAAAGCATGTCACAAGCATCTCTCGATGAACAGCTTCATGGCAAATTCACTCAGAAAAAAAAAAAGTCTGTTTTAGAGCTTTTCTAGAAGGCAATTTTAAAAGGAGCGTAGTGGTTCAGCTGTGAGGCTGTGGTCTGTCTGAAACATGAATTACAGGCTCATGTCTAAGAGCAGCTTGAAGTTCCAGTTTTAATGAGGTTACTGAGCAAGTTAAATTTTCTATCTGTCTAATCTGTGTGGTTATGGGAAAGTCTTATGTGGTTATGGGAAAGTCTGTGGAGTAGACACAGGCCACTTGTGTCAGAGCAGAAAGCATCAGGAGAGACTAAAAAATGAGCCAACAGTTCCCACAGGGATGCACTCCATGGGTGAATCGATAGTACCAGTTCTGCCACCCTCAGGGACTGGTCAATGCTGTCCTCCCTGTTACAACCACAATGAACTATATCCTAAGGATAAGACTGGTGCAAGGCAGTGTCTGCCTTTCAGAGGCCAGCAGCCTTGCTGTGAGCATAGGGTATGAATTTAAAATGCATGTAACATGTGGCTAGGCTTGGTGGCGTGCATTGCAGATTGGATGGCAGAGGCAGTGGATCTCTATAAGACCAAGGCCACTCTGGGCTACACAGTGAGATCCTGTCTCAAAGCCAAACAAATAATGAATGTAACAATAAAGAAGACATATTAAAGGTCAAAGGTGAGGTACAAACAAGAAGCATGAGATAGTTAGTCCTCACTGTCCACTTGATGAGACTTAGAATCACTTAGGAGACACACCTCAAGGCATGACTTTGAGGGAGTTTCCAGAAAGGTTTAACTTGGGAAGGAAGACCCACTCCGAGTGTGGGCAGCACCAGGTTTGGGGTCCTGGATAGAATAAGAAGGGAAAAGAGGAAAGCAGGCTTGATGACGTATACCTATAATGACAGTACTTGGGAGCTGAAGGCAAAAGAATCAGGAGTTCAAGACCAGCCCTGACTACATAGTGGATTTGAGGCCAACCTGAGTACAAGAGATTTTGCATCAACAACAAAAAAAGGAAGGACGAAAACAAGCTAACAGCCGCATTCATCCCTCCTCCTCCTCCTGACCACAGACTCCATACAGAACAATTGTGTCACTCTTGCTGTCACGACTTCCTGTCGTGCCTTCCTCACCAGCATAGTTTCTATCTCCTCAATTGTGAACCGAAATAAGTCCTTTGTCCCTGAAGTTGAATTTGCCTGAGTATCAACAAAGGCAGGCAGGGTGTGCATTTCCAGGAGAGAAAATGTACAGTCAGTTGTACAGAAAAGTAAGGTTTACCATCAAAACCAAGGGCATTCCTCAAAGCTTCATGTCATCACAAGAATTCCATGGGTCATGCTTTGCTCTTTACCTGTGATGATTTGGGATCCCAGAGCTTTTATTCTCTGACTAAGAGGTTAACATACTACTGTGACTCAGGTGAAATCCATCCACTACCTGTTCTTCGAGGGTCCATGAACTAGGAGCAGATTTTATAGATGAGTATTCCCAATCACTTTTATGACAGAATACTACTCTTACTTTTTTTTTTTAACTTTATTTTATATGTATGTGCTGTGGATTATGCTCATTGTTAATAAAAAAAAAAAGAGTGGCTGATAGCAGGGCAAGAAGAGATTGGGCGAGACAGCCTGAAGCAGAAAGAATGATGGGAAGAGTGAGGGTGGAGTCAGGAATTGAGGGGGAGATGCCAGCCAGCCACTGAGCAAGCAGGGCACATAGAAAAAGAGGTAACAAGTCATGAGCCATGTGGTAAGCATAACTAAAAATGTGGATTAATTTAAATGTAAGAGTTAGCTAGTAACAAGCCTGAGCTATTGGCCGAGCATTTATAACCAATATAAGCCTCATTGTGTTGAGAGCGGCTGTGGGACAGGAAAACTTCTGTCTACATGTATGTGTGTTGGCCTGATTGTATGTATGTATGTATGTATGTATGTATGTATGTATGATATAGGTATGTATACCACATGCTTACAAGTGCCCTAGGAGGCCAGCAGAGGGTGTTGGATCCCCGAGAACTGATGCAGTTGTGAGCCATCCGTGTGTTGGGGAGGGAACTAAACAGGGCCCTCTACAAGTGCAGCAAGTGTTCTTAACTTCTGAGCCATCTCTCTAGCCCCGATCACCTTGAACCTCAATTAAGCTTAATGTTATGGCCTCCCAGCAAATGAATGCCATTTTTCTCATTGGAAGACTTGTAATAAAATTATATTCAATTATTATTTTTATATGCTATACTTTTTTTCTTTTGTTTTTGTTTTTGTGGGTTTGTGTGTGTGTGTGTGTGTGTGTGTGTGTATGTTTTTGAGACAGAGTCTCTCTAGCTGTCCTGGAATGTGCTCTGTAGACCAGGCTGTCCTCATACTCACAGAGATCTACCTGCCTCTGCCTTCTGAGTACTGGGATTAAAAGTTTGTGCCACCATGCCCAGCTGCTGCTGCTGTTCTTCCTCCTCCTTTTTCTCCCCTCCCCCCTCCTCCTCTTCTTCTTCTCCTCCTTCTTCTTTCTTCTTCTTTTTTTAAAAAGTCTTACTATGTAGGTTTGGCTGGCCTGGAGCTCACTACACAGACCAGGCTGGCCTTGAACTCAGAGAGCCACCTGCCTTAGCTTCCTAAGTGCTGGGATTAAAGTCATGCACCATCACACCTGATGGGATAGTTTTCACTCATTACATCTATACACAAACAATATCTTCAACAATATCTTTTGGCTCGTGGAGTCTAAAAGAGTTATGATCTTGCCCCTTATGAAAAAAGTTTGCACGTCCCTGCTCTGGACTTGAAGCCCTATTTCACCTTCTAAAAGGGCTGGTTTCACATCCCACTGGGCTTTTCAAACAGAGATGAGTGTGAGGCCTAGCAATGGATGAAGCACCACTCCAATGCATAAGGAAACCCTCGTGGTCAGTCTACCTGGAGAGATGTTAAAAGTAGAATGGAGAGGAGAGAGGAAAAAGAGAAAGAAAAGGGAACAAAAACAAAGGAAAGGGGCTGGGTGGGGGGGACCTCTGCTCTAGAGCACCTGCCCAGGAAAGGGGCTGGGGGGAACCTCTGCTCTAGAACACCTGCCCAGGAAAGGGGCTGGGGGGAACCTCTGCTCTAGAGCACCTGCCGAGGTGCATGAGGTCCTGAGTTTGTTCACCAGCACTGGAGAGAAAGAAAGAAAAACAACAACAACAACAACAAGCCAGGCCTGGTGGAGCCTGTAAATCACAGCAACTGGGAAGCTGCAGAGGCAAAGTCGATTTCTAGTTCAAGGCCAACCTGGGCTACATAGGCAGAAAAAAAGAAAGAAAGAAAAGAAACAAACAAAGGAAACCGGTGAAGACACGCTCTATGCAATGCTGACAAAGCTCTGTGTGAGTCAAAGAATTCCATTGCATACAACAGGGTATTAGTGCAAGAAAACTCAAGAGGCATTGCTATCCTATCTAGGAAATAAGCCACAGGTAGAACTTCCTGTGCATCAGTGGATAGAAACGACACCTATGGAGGCAACAGTCCACCAAACCAACACTTACTGAAATATACAGGTTGAAGAATCCATTAACAACAAAAGCATTCTAGTAATAATACATCCATTAAGTAACGTAGTAATTTTCCACTTTCAGATACCAGCTGTATAAAATACCCTCTTTTGCCGGGCGGTGGTGGCACACGCCTTTAATCCCAGCACTCGGGTGGCAGAGGCAGGCGGATCTCTGTGAGTTCGAGGCCAGCCTGGGCTACCAAGTGAGTTCCAGGAAAGGCGCAAAGCTACACAAGAGAAACCCTGTCTTGAGAAAAAACAACAACAACAACAAAAAAAAAACAGATGAAATGACTACAGCAGGTATACATCTAGCCATAAATACAACTATTCTAATCAGCCAAATAGAATTATTCCCTGATAAATTGACAAATACCTTAACCTCCCGAAGGTTCATGCATTCTTCCCAGGAGTAAAACTTTCTTTTCATTCTGTAAGGGAAGAGAAAGAAACAACGTGCTTATTCCAAGTGACAGGCTGAACACCATTTCTTAGAAATGTTTTCATTCAGGGTTGGAGAGGCGGCTGAGTGTTGAGAGCATTGCATGCTCTTGCAGAGAACCCTCATTCATTCCCAGCACCCACATCAGGCAGCTTAAATTGCCTGCAACCCAGCTCCAGGGGACCCAATGTCATTTTCTGGCCTCTGTGGACATGCACACATACACACGCAGCAGGCACACATGAATGCACACACATACAAATAAAAATATATTTTTTTCATTCTGAACCTAACCAATGTTGGTTCCAATTTGTATAAAATATTATACTATCTAAGAAGCCTTTATATGAAAACATGTCAAGCCTAAGCCATTATACTTCCTGCAGCAGTGGGGACCTAGTGTACTGCTTGTTTTTTGTCAACTTGACACAAATCCAGACGTATCTGGGAAGAAGAAATCTCAGTTGAGAAAATGTCCCGTTAGACAGGCCTGCAGGTAAGTCCGTGGGGCTTGATGGGTGATTGAGGCTAGTGGGTCCAGCTCACTGTAGGTGGTGCCATCCCTGAGCAGCTGCTTTTGGACTGTATAAAAAAGTAGGCTGAAGCCGGGCGGTGGTGGCGCACGCCTTTAATCCCAGCACTCGGGAGGCAGAGGCAGGCGGATCTCTGTGAGTTCGAGGCCAGCCTGGGCTACCAAGTGAG